TCAAAGTGAAGCAATGAAATTGAAATTTATATTCTAGAACTGGGCGTAACTCTAACCATGGGAGGTGCTTTCTTCCCCAAACTCGACCAGCTAAAGAACTTGAATGGTGTGGGGTACTGTGAAGCCAAATTCGTTCATCGGGTCACAAGCTAAAAAAGTGTGCAATTGTTGTTTCAAGCTTTCCCCTTTCAACCTTATAAGCCTTAAGCTGTACAGGGCGTTTGGCAAACTGGGAAGAGCAAAGCCAAGGTTTGGATTTGAATGAAGTCAGCTTCTCTCTAGTTTACATTGGTAGTCTGGAGCTGTTCCTGGGTGGTCTCCCATTTACCCTCAATAGGGTTTGCCACCAATCCAAACCACCAGCTAAGGGGAACCGAAAAGTTAGACCAACCCCCAGACAAAAACAAAGGGTGCCAGAACCTCCCTCCGCCCGGTGGGCGGGGAAAACAAAACTTAACTTGGCTGTGGCTCAAATTAAACAGGAGGGGTTACGCGGGTTTTGGTCCATGTTTCCACTTACCAAGGTTCCATTTTGGCACTGTTGTTTTGAGCCACAGCCACTTGAGCTCAGATACTGGCTTCAGGTTGTGAAAACTTGCGCTTCGGCTGCCATTGGAGTTTGATGCTACGAAATGTCTTGTTTCTCATGATTTTCCAAAACCCGGGTAGGGTTTGTTCAGGCTTTGATCCCAATATCCCAACCCCTAAACTTCAGCCGCGCGTTTGCCGGCTTTTGCACCCTCCCTTGTGTAGTGTGTGGGTGTATCTTCCATGGCCGAGGATGTTGACATCGCCAATGATGTTTCAGAGTAATTCCTGGCACAGGGGATGGTTTCAAAGTGCGGCCAACGGAAGGCGCTTCCATTGATGTCGGCCTCAGGAAGCACCCACCGGGGCGTGAAAGAGGACTTCTGGCGGATTTTTCATCCGAAAGCCCGACTTTCGTAAATGAAGCCGCCGGAAGGCGAGCGATCGGAGGTCTCAACCGGGCTGTGGAGGGACCAAAACACCGCGAGCACCGCTGGACCCGCGCTGAGGCGTGAGCCAAAGGCTTCGCGCTTCGGGTCCTTGATGACCTCCGCCCGGCGCGGCAGAGTCTGCGGTTCTCACTTTCTGTGGGGTTGGGTGCTAAATAGCCACGGGGAAAACCAAAGGGGAAAACCAAAGGGGAAAACGTATTCTAAGTATACCCAAGGGGAAACCAAAAGGGTGCGATGTTTTTGGTTGTTTGCATCTGTTCACCAGACTCCCCATTTGGTAGTTTGCATCTTTTTACCAGACTCCCCATTCGGCCTCAGACAATTTGGACCGCTAGGTGTCGTCCTGGAGTGGTTTCCCTTGAAGCTGCCACTTGGGTGGCTGTGATAGTGGTTACAGACTGGGGACGGCTTGCTTTGAGGTTGAGAAGGACAGGGGTACCCTTTAAATTCGGTCATGGGTCATACCCAACTGCAAAAAGACGTGACCCGCTTTGCCCACTGGAAATACTGGAGGTGGGACCTATTTACCTGGATTCAAACTTACTCGGCAAGTTCCTGGAGCCAGGCGGTAGTGGATTCCCTTCCAATTCCCTAGTGGTGCCCTTCTACCCTTTTTTGGGGGAGGGTTCCACTACTAAAATAGACTACAGAAAAAAGGGTACCCTTATTCTAACCTCTGGAGAGGTGCCCCACTATGGATGAATCCCTAGATTGCAATTTCTAGGATCGGCCCCAGCTTCAACAACCCAGGATTCCATTGCTCCAGGCTTTCCGACCAATGCTGAGTCGGCTGAGTCCCGCTGGGTGGGTTTCCCGAGGTTGCGTAAGCTAGACGGACGGACCCTTGGGGTCTCTTCAGCTCCGCCCAATTTATGAGTTGCCCTGCAGAGTTGGCCATTTGGTTAATGGGTCCAAAACAAATCGGGTCAGATGGTTGAAACAAAGCAAGATCCCACCCCCCCCGCCACCCGCAAAAAAGATTGCTCGGGGCTCACCCCCTAAATGATTGCAAGCCCTTGCAATCATTTCGGAGTCCAAATGATTGGAGATAAAGCATTCCCAACTCACTCCCCAGCTCCTGGTTGCTTGAGTCTCTTTTGGGAACATAGTGGTAGACTTATCTCACACTGGGCTTAATGAGAAGTCGAAGGGGGTTGATACAAATTACACTGGAAAGGATTGCTTGAAAGGGATAGTCGGTCGGCCCTTGCCCCAGGCAGCCGCCTGTCCCTTTGCGCTGAATCGGGGAATAGTCTCGATCGCAATCAGTGATTCGCCAAGCCCGTGTCAGCCCAAAGCGGATGTCATTCGACTTTTCGACCTGAAAGGTGTCGATGGATACTTTAGTCAAGGCTCCAACAGGTGCAGCTTTGATTTCCAGGTGCTTTGAAGTGGGGTCAAAAGCTCATAGCCAACTTGTTTTCCCACGGCAAGGTGAGCGTGCCGCATTTCAGGACATTCCCTTGGGTTGGGATAATTCTTCGAAAAACCTTCAATGCCCTCTAAACAACCCTGTGGATGTCCGAAATCCCCTCCCAACTGTCCAGACAAATGTCCGATTTGGCCGCAGGACGCTCCCGCCTGGCACGCCTGAGCAAGAGAAAGACGACATAAAACAACCCGGGATGGAAACACCTTGCCTCTGGGGCACCTCCCTCCTGGGGGTTCTTGAAAAGAAGCGAGACCGATTTGGCTCCCCCCCCCCCTCCCCCCCTCCACCCACTTGGAGACTGAGGCCTCGAGTCTCAGGCAGAAGGCAAGCCCCTTCCTGAGCAAGGCGCGGCAGGCGCGACTGGCAGCCTCGATTCGCGGCTGAAAACGCGGTACAGGCAATCTTGCATCCAACGACCAGCTGCTTGACTTACAAGGGGGATCCTCTAAATCAGCTAAATGTGTCCCAGGGACCCTGATCCTGGCTCCAAGTTGGCAGAGGACTGTTTCAAAATGATACCTACTCCACGGCAAAACACTTCTCGCAGGGTCAGTGGGCAGAAGTTCTGTGAGGCTCTTCTGAGGGCAGCCCAGATTTGGAGACCTTTTCCATGCTGGCTTTTGGTTTCGAAACAGAGCTCGCTGGAATGCAACCACGATGCTTCATGTCTTCAGTTGAGGCTCGACCACGCCGCCACAGGTACGGCCCTACAGGACAGGGAAAAATGTGTGTTTTCTTTATTGCTTGTGGGAGCATTTTGTGAGTCCCTTAGTGTTAACCATACCTAATCCGAGGTGGAATGAAAAGCTGAGGACTTCTGATGCCAATTAATGTCCAACTTGTTAGCGTAATTTGACCATGACTCGGGTGTCAAAACCAGGGGATACCATGCAGTGGACTACCTTGGCTTCTACTGATTACAATGGAGTGTCTTCCCGAGCCATGTCGTTAAAGAGGGTTTGTTCCTGGTCGGCCCCGATTAAAGTTAATGGGGTGCTCAAGTTCCATTTAATTGATCCCAGCAGACAGGCTATCAGCCATTGACATACGGGTCAAAATAAGACCATGAGGGGACCAAAGGTTTCAGTCCATGTTTCCACTTGCCAGGGTTCCATCTTGGGCGCACAGGTGTCCTTTTTGGTTGTTTTGCTAGAAAAATCGATGGCCCTGGTTTACCTGGTGGTTTAATCATCTACCAGGGAAATCCATCTATTTCCCCTAAAAGGACACCTATGTTTGGGCGCCTATTTCGACCGGCTGCCATTTTCCTGACTCCAAAAAGGCGACACAGTACCCTCCCTGTGAGGCCATCGTGGAGGAGGCCAAGCTTTTGTCGGAGGACTGCCATTTCGGTCAAGCGCTTCCGGTCGCTGAAAGCGACTTCTCCTTTGGACCTGTTGGTTTTCCCTGTTTGAGAACCCTTTTTAGTCATGGTTGTGATGACCTTGAATACCTTTTGGTTTTCCCTGTTTGAGAACCCTTTTTAGTCATGGTTGTGATGACCTTGAATACCCTTTGGTTTTCCCTGTTTGAGAACCATTTTGGTCAATGTTCCAAAAAGTGATGGCCTTGAATTTCTGTGATGGGAAACCCTGCAGTGAAAAAGGCGGAAATATCCTTGGCTGAGGGTTGGGCTTAAAATTTGGTAGCAGCAAAAAAACACGTTGGCCCCCGGTTCACGGGAAACCAACAGATGGATTAAGCAACAGGTGGTTTAACAGAGGTTGAAAGGGATTTGGCTGAACCCTGGAAGTTGCGTCCGCTCTTTGTTGACCTCCAACAGCACTTTCACTCCAGGTTATGGGAAATCTGGTGCCTGTGGTCGGAGGGGGTCAAAAGCGTTCAAGGCATCCCCGGTTTGCGCAGGGCCGCAAAAGAGATACGGTAGTCACCAGGAAAGGCGGCTGTCCGCTTGGTTTCTCTTTGAAGCAACCCGAAAAGGCGACCCCCGCGACAACGCACACCCAGATGGTTTTGGGTTCCACGTGAATCCGCGACCCTGGGACCATCGCAGAAGCGCTGTCCAGTGTGCGGAGAGCTCCCCACGGCGAGCTTCTTACGCCTTCCTTCGGTCTGACAGAACAGAATACGCTGCTGACAAAGACTCTGAGTCTGTTGCGTGGTTACCGCAGGTGGAAAGAAAGTGCCGCAAAGTGGCGGCAAGCCTCGGACCGGCGACTCACGGCGAAGAGCGTGCAGGCGGCGCTATGTCACGACATGACCAGCAACCGCCTTGGGAATGGCACGGGGCCAATCAAGATATTGCAGCTCAAAGGGTCGAGGCGTCAACCGCTGCCACCAAAGGCGGCAGCAGTTTGGTCTCGGCGTCTTTTCGCGGGAGACCTTTCGAGGTGTGTTTGTTTAAGAGTACTAAGGGGAAGCCCCAGCTTGATCTTTTTCGACGGCCTACATCCTATGTTAAGGATGCTGGACTCCTCTCCTTCGTTCTTTTACTTGTAAATGACGATGTGGTTGAGCTTGATCTTGGCTGTGGCTGTGAATTTTAGTGTCCTATTCTGGTCTTGCTTCTTAGGCTCATACACGGAACTGCCAGCTAGTGCCCTAGTGGGCTTCGGATGCCTTGATGTGCTCGGTTCATGAGTCTTCCGATGGGTGCAAGGATGGCGTGCATGTGCTTGGTTTCGCTCATGTTCGCGGCTTTTTGTGCAGCCATGCTTCACTTTGGGGAGCAGAGATTGGTGTCAGTGTCTGCGACCCATTTTTCATTTTTGTTCCTCCCCCTGGTTCGTTCTTCCGGAGTGATGTTTGACGAACGGCACATCTCCTGTTTCGATCCCTGCTCGGAAAGGTCGACGCAGAACTCAAAATGCCAGGGGCAGAAGAAGCTATGGCGAAGTGAGACAAAAAAGTGCATAAGGTGTTGATCAAAAATTCGGACACGCTGACGCGTTTTCATGTGGGCCCCTTGGAAAACCAACTCCAAGGGGGCCCCCTCAAAACAGACCCTCGACATGTTGTTTTTTGTGTTTGGGATTTGTTGTTTGTCTTTTGTGTCGGTGTCCTTTTGGTTTATTTGGGTGCGTGCTTTTTGATGGTCCTGTACCCTCTGCTTCCTTTTGTGGGGAGGCCAAAGGAACGCCCTTTCTCGGGCCAAATCCCTATTTTCGACATCCTACCCAGGGACCCTTTTTGGGTGGATGTCACCACAGAGTTGAGAGCATTTCCCAGGAAACCGAAAGAGGATGAATACGTATTGTTGTAATTTTGCAGACGGAAAAAAAACACATACCATCCCTATGTGTGTTGCTCCCAGAAAACATCCCAGACATATCATCCCTTATGTTCTGCATTGTTCCCAGAAAAAAATAGTAACAAATAAAATAATAATAATATTCAAAAAAAGCCAGCCCTTGTCTGCGGGGGGCAAAAAAACGTTTTCTCCGAGTTCGCCCGCGGAGTACGCCTCGGGACGCCGCGCAGAAGCGCTTCCCGCTCGGTTGGCTGGGTCAGGACGCCAAGGACATCGCGGGAGGCGTGCGCGAGGGCATGCAGCTCACCCGCCAGGACTTGAAGGCCCAGCGGGAGCTTGGACCCGTGGACGGGCCGTGGGCCCGCGCGCGATCGAAGTGGTTGGGGCGGTCTTTGAAGTGAAAATCGGTATAATATATCAAACAAATGCGTAAAACAACATGAAGTTGTTTTTTTTGAAAATCAATTTAGCTGGTCAAACATCTGTGTAGCACCTTGGCGTATTGAAAGGAGCGAGACAGGCATTCACTGAGATTCCGGTTCCTTTTGCAGGGCAAAGCTGAGCGCCAAGCAAGTCTTCGGACCAAGTCCTTCAAAGGCACTCCCTTTTTGTATGTCGGTGGCTGCAGTTGCCAGAATAGTGGATAACAAGCATGTATCCCCTCATGGTTTGTACACCGTAGTCGACTGGTTATCTGCTTACATCCCCAGTTTCTGGACGTTCATCAAATCTTTCGAATACCATTTGAATAAACAGAAGGTTTGGTGACCTGTTCTGGCCAAGCAGCCCAAGTGAGCCCTTTGAGTGACTTCAATGGAATCCAGAAAAGGCGCTTAGCAAGACTTCGTCGCTTTCTTCCACCTTGTTTTTCCCGGGCACCCGCCGGTCCAACCCCAAAAAACAGTCCGCGCGGTCTGTCCGCGCGAGGCCTCCACCAAGGGCTGGCGCAGCGCCTTGGGCGCCAAACTCCGCCGGGAGCCCAGCCCCGAGGCAGCGGCCAGCGCTTCGGCCCAGTCCGAGGCGGGGCCTCGGCGTCGAAGCGCGGGGCGTCGGCTTCGGCGTTTGGGGAGAGATCGTCGGTTTTTAGGGCACCCGGCACCTGCAGATGATGTGTGCTTTTGGTTGGGTTTGATTGAAGGGTTAGTGTTTTGTTTTTGGCTTGAAAGGAGAGCACCAAAGCTTTAAACCAATCGTGAATAGTGGCCGCCAATAGTCACTATGTTGTGACTATATATGACTGCACATTTATTTGTGTTCTGCTATAATATGGCTGCGGCTCCCATTGCAAGTGCGATAATCAGCCAGGCCTCAAGATGACTAATCCACAGCGGACATCTGAACCTGGGTCTTCAGGTTCTTTTTCGGGGGCCCATTTTCTATCTGAACGATCAGGTTTCAAGCAGCTGCTTGATGTGTTGAGTTTCACTGCGAACCGGGGTTCCTCAAGTTCCCCTTTGGTTCAAGCAATACTCGGTGATTCCATTTCCTTTAGTAGGTAACCGAGGAAACCCTTTTAAAGCTGAAGAGCCAATGCTGGTTACCTATACCATCATGGCGAAGCGCCTGGCATTTGGGACACGGAAGGGGAGTGGAGCCTGAAGGGCTTGACCACCCCACTTCTGTATAAATCTTGAATTTCTTCAAAGGTCTCATTCTTAGGAAGGCGGTTGCACCGCCGGACATCGGCAAAATTCCCACCGCCCGCTGGTCGCTTTGAAGGGTCCACCGCAGCCATGTCCGATGCATCAGGACCGGCCCAGTGGATTGGAGGCGATGAAGCAAAACCTGGCGACTCGGATGCAGCGGATCGACCCGGAAGCACGCGGTAACCGACTCACCCCGATGAACCTGGGACGGTGTCCCTAAGGGGAGAATGGCCAGAACCAGGACCCCGCTCCATGTGAATTGGTGGGAGGGTAGTGGCCAGCAAAGCCGGGCGTTCGGTGAGAAATGAGGACACCACTGAAATTGACTCTACAGCCACCTTCTCCTGGGGCCCAGCCTACTTTTGGCCCGCAAATCGGGCAGTTACGAGAAGCTAATAGAAGGTATGTTTGAGAAAAATGCAACAATTTGTGAAGTTGATCCATCAAACCTTGTTTTCGTAGGGACAAAACTTCACTTGCCACGGTTTTATCTACTTACCCTGGCCCCCTTGCTCCTTAGATGCCTATGTTTTGGAGGATGTGGGTCACTTACAAGGAATAACGGTATTTCTTCAGGAACACCTGTCCAAAGTAGAGAAGCGGGATACCCCTTTTCAGAGGTGTCGCATGGCTGCCATTGGTGTTGCGCATGGAACGTGGGTCTTGGCACCCATTCTTCAGGAATTGTCTTGCGTTTTGAATCATCACCGTTTGGGCCTAGGTGAGGATCTCTTGGGGAAATAGGGAACTTTGTTTGTGAGACCAAGAGGTCCCACACTCAAAGTGACACAATATAGTCATAGGGATGGGAAGCCCCCTTTGGTTAACAGAAAGGGTTCTGTTGCACTTGGCCCTTTGTCGCAGAACAGTGCAGGTCCCTCACAAGCGAGGCATTTGTTTACTCCGGCAAACCTGGCAGTACAAAATGTGCAGAACCGGTATTTGGAGTACGGGGTACACTCAACTTGGAGCGTGTGGCGTTTGTTCTTTTCCTTTGAGATTCTTCCGTGTTCTTGTTTTCTTTGGACTCAACGAATGTTTGCTCGTTGCTTGGCTTCATCCAGGCTTGGTTGTCTTTGGATCAGAAGGCAACCTAAGAACTGAGCAAGCTTTTGTGTTCATGTGCCTCTTTTTGCTTTTGTTCATTGCTGTGAATGCCTCGTCGGAGGGTTTGGTTGCGTTTTTAGATCCACGGGCACAGTAATCGGCTGATCTTCCAGCCAAGGCCAACACTGCCCGGGATGTGTCCGAGCTTCGCCAGGAAGTCATGAACGAGGCCAACTCAAGACCCTGCTGTTCAATGGCACCCGGTTCCCTTATTGTTTGGTCATTGGTGGGTTCCCTGTTTTAAGACTACGTGGTCACCAACTTTGAGGGTCATGGTCAATGGCCTGTCAAGGGAACACCCCAAAATCGGAACCCCAAACTGGCGACGGCCTAAGGGTTGGCTCCTTTCCATTCTGAAATCAACCATTCCTTGAAGAACGGCAGCTTCCGTTGCGTTCTCCTGGTTTCCTGGAAAGAGATGCCCGTTCTTTGTCGCGGCTCCCCGGAAGCCGTGAAGCTTTTCCCACGCCTGCCCCCCATTTCAGGGTTCAGGGCCGCAGTTTGACAGATCACCCCACGCCACTTCAACTCCAGGTCCTTTCCAATCGCCCCTGGAGCAACGCAGCTTCTCTCAACCCTCCAGTCTCACGACGGGGTTGTGGGATCTGGGCTCCCTTGGTTTTTCCGCCCAACAGCAGGGCCCAGGGCTGGCAGGAACTTGGGTCTCGGTCTCCACACCGGGTAAAAGCCAGCAATGCAGGGTAAACTAAAGCGCCTATGGGGGGTCCTTCTTTAGTGGCTGAAACCCCAATCAAGAGGTAAATGACCCCAACGCCGTGGTTTATGTTGGAACCAGTGAGCAAAGGAGCTTGGTTGAGAATCCCATCGACCCCTGAAGGCTGTCTAGGCTTAGTCCAACCTTGGGCCTATGGGATGGCCAGTAAAATGGGACGCATCCCTGGGCAGGGGGAAACTTCTGGCGAAACTGCTCAACCATTCACAATCCAGGGATCACTGTCCAGAAATTTGTTATGTGGGGGTTGATCAAAAGGTCCGTGATACATTAGCAATGACCATTGGGCAAAGCCACTAAAAAGATAATAGTTCAACCACTAAATGGGAACAGTTACCCATGGTCATTTGAGGGCCAGGATTATTGATCAACCCACATGTCTGTAGCTCGAAAGAATGGGTGAAAGAGTGAAGGATCAACCTTTCGAATATGGGTGTGTCGCAAAGCTGGACTCGCCAATCCTGCTAGCCTTTCAAACTCCCAAAGGGGAAGGTGGCGACGAGCCACACCCTTCTGACAGGGAAATCACAAGCATTCTTCGTCCATGATCATGAGGTAGTTTGGGTTGATTGTAGCCTACAACGCCAGGCATTCACCAATTCATGAAAGCCATGGACCCGCCCCCCCCCCCCCCCCGCCCCTCCCCCGCCTCGACCCCGTTGAAGACTTGAGTATGTTTAACAGAAAACAAATGGGTGTGGCGCAGAAACAAAGAGCTAGGGATAGGCAAGCTTTAGTCTTTGGTTCCATCTACCAAGGTGCCATTCTGGAACAGTTTCTTGAGACACAGCCAAATGGGAATCCCCTCATTTGGCAACGGCTTCCCTCTCATGTGCCTTCATAAATAGTTCCAAACAAGGGGTTCCAAACGCCTCAACAGAAAGGAGCCACACCCTTTTAACTTTTATCCCCTTCCCTTGTCCCGTTTTCCTGATTTGATTGTTTTTTGTGTCTTCTTGTTTTCAGATGTTCCCCTTTGCCAGTTTTCTACGTTTCAGAGTTTCCCGCTAAATGTTCCTTTGTTTCCCTGTGGAATTGTAGACTTCCGTCCTCTCGATTCGGGAGGTCCGGCTCAGCGTGAGCGACCTCCGGCAGGTCACCCAGCAGGCGGGTGGGAGATCGAAACCCGGCGGCTCGTCGTTTTTTTGGAGTTGGCAGCCGCTTTTTGCTGGAAGCCAAACTGAAAACCATCAAGTGTACCTCCTTTGGGGTGGTTGTATGCGGTTGTTTTTGCTCAGGAAAACCAAAGGAAAAACCGAAAACCAAACACCCCGCCAATTTGGGGGTCCGACTAGTCCGATTTTCTGAAAAAGACGCGCCCGTAGAAGTTTTGTTTTAGCCCCCCCTTGCCAACTACGGGGAGATGCTTTCACCTTGATCACCGGATATGACTAAATGGGTGTGGTCTTTTGAGGGGACTCCTCCGCAAAAAGGTCTCAGGTGTTCGTTGCCATCAGGTTTTGGGCATGGGTGGGTACTTGGGTGCTTTTTACATGTCCTCCCCAACAGTCTACCACCATTACTCGGGTTTGCGTTGCCATGTTAGACAGTGCCTAGGTCCCAACCCATAAAGTCCTGCCACTAGCTTGGAAGCAGTTGTTTTTCGGATGGTCTGGGGAGTCAGCTACATGGTCAGTAATGATTCCCGTTTTGCCGGGGCAAAGTGGAGACCTCGAAGAACTAGGGTATGGAAAATCGAGTCCACAAGAAGGATCGAGCTCGTTTTGTCTTGCCCCACTTAGTTGAAATGACACGAGCGCGCAAACGGTCTCAAACGTTCAAGCCGTTGTTCGTTGTGCAGTCTTCTTTCAGAGCCACAAATGCCTGCTATGAAAAGTGAGCTTACTTGCGATATGGGGATGTGGCGCTATGGCCGCGTGCCTTCCATTCGCGCCAGGTTGCAGGTCCAACTCCTGTCGGTCCTATCCCTTTGCTAGCGCATTCTGCAGGGTTCACATTTTTTGGTCGAAAAGGGAAACCCAAGGCAAACAACATCTTGGACGAAAAGTCTGGACTCTTGACATGTGTGCCTCGCCCATCTCGCGTGCTTCGCGGCTTCCTACTGGCTTTGGGCATTTGCTTGGCGAGCAATCACCTCACGCTGAACCTGGAGGCATCGTGCGGCGCCCTTGGCGACGTATGAACCGTCTCCATCGGTCGGATGGCTCGAGCCCGAAGATCTCTTGGCGTGCGCAAAGGAACAATTGGGAGGTGTCGGTTTTTGGAGTTGCTGCCCCTTTTTGGGTGGTTGTTGCGGGAAACCAAACGGAAAACCGTGAAGCCATTTTGGGGTCCCCATGGTCCCCCAAAAAGACACACCCACTTGATACCCCCCATGGTAGTCCCCGCAAGTGCAAGTTGGTTTTCCTGGCTCCGGAACTGTTTCCCAGTCAGGTAAAGCTTTGTCTCCCCTTTGATAACCCACGTCCTGTTTGGGTTGCTTTGCCCAGCCTGGTCCATCACCCCGCCCAGTTTCACAGGGTTTCCACCAGAGTCACGTTGGGTTCCATGTTAACTTTGGGGAGTAGTTGAGTTGCAGCTCGGCGTTTTGCGGGAAACCGCGGTGGGCCAAACCACGACGAAAATAAAGAAGTTGCTCCTCCCACCTCAGCACACCTCAAGTTTTGGTCTGTTCGTTGCCTTCCACAAGGAGCGTGTTGGGGGGGGGCTCCTTTAAACGGAAGTGGAGTGTGAGGTGACTCTTGGATTCAACTTCCAACTCTGCGCAACCCCTGCTGGGTTGTACAAAACAGGCCCTAGTAGTCCTGATAAGGCGAAATGATACCCTGGATGCTTCCAAAGGGAGATCCAAAAATGAAAGCATTTGGTGAGGTTTCCTATTCTAAGGCATCCTGGGGCACAGCCTCTCAGGTGATGGGAGCTTCGCCATGAAGAGATGGCTAGCATGAACCCGAGGGCCCCCAACACAAGGAGCAACCCATTCTTATTGGATAGTCCTTTAGGGGACGCCTAAACCCCATCCAACCGAGCGCAGATGCGCGGCAGGTGTGGAGAGGTTCAGATGCCGCCGACGGCGAGGAGTCGCCCAAAGAGTCCAAGGGCCTTGACAAAGTCAAGGCAAGTTGCAGCCGTCTCGACCGTAACTCACTGTTTGCGCTCCAGGATCTTCCTGGACTTGTTTGGACTGATTGTTTGCGCTTGTGGATGTTCCTGGACTTTGTTGAGTGTTTTGGGAAGGCTGGTGGTGAGTGGCAAACCGAAAGCGTTCGGTTTCTTATTTGTCTGAGACAGCTTGCGATGCAAGACTGTAGTATACACTTTAATTTCACCCAGCCCATGTGCCATGGTTGACACACTCTCGAAGGTTTACTTGTGATCAGGGATGCTCCGAATGGTTTGAAGCCAGCCCTTCATGAGCCGCAAAGCCAGCGGGTCGCAGGTCAGCAGACACTGGAGGTGCAGCCAAAACATGCGCCTATTTGTGAATGCGCCTTGTGGAGAGCTCAATGTTGGGAATACCACCCATGAGCGTCCCCCAAAAACTTGGGGATTGCAGAATAGTGTCCAAAGTTCGCAGGTCGAGGCTAGTTCTAACGTGCTGCATCCTCATTTCTCGTGTAAAGGCGGCCTTGGTTTCGAGTGATCCTTCAGATTGCACCCCTGGCACTTTCCGGGGGCTAACCAATTGCAATAGAGGAAACTGACCAAAAAACATTGGTTGTCCAGTGGTTTGGGGAGGACATGAGGACACCCAAATTTCAGTGGGTCAATGTTGAGTCAAGGCGAGAGATTGCCAGACTCAACTAACCTTCCTTCAGCTCTTCTGCATGGTTCTCGATTTTACCAACAGCAGGTTATTTTGTAGGGCTCAAAGTCAGGCCAATGAAAGCCTGAGGTCGCATTTCTGCTTGACAAGCGGGTGATGCGCAATCAAGCCCGGGGTACAGCGACAAACTCAAAGATCATAGATCATTGTTCTCTTCGGAAACCGCTCATTTCCGCCAGGGTTTGGCAAATCCATGCTTTGAGGAGATTCGGATACCTGAAGCGAACGGAAAAGGGACGGTTAGAAGGCTTCTCAGTTGTTCAGTAGCGCCCTTTTTCCCTTTCTGCTTGGTGGGTTCCAGACTACAAATGGTCAACCCCAACCTTACAAAGGGGTTCCCAGAATCCCCTAGAAACCACCCTCTAGCTTCACTCAGACCTGGGTTTGTATTTTATGGGTCTTTGAACAGGCTGGTGTTGGGTGTCTGGACCAGTCAACGAAACCTTTGGTGCATGTTGCTTGGATGTCAGGACTTGAACTTTTCGCCAGCTGAGGGGTTTTCCCGCAAGCCACCAAAAGTTCTTCACTTTTCAGCAGGGCTCCGCAGCTTTCGCCGAGCAACGAGGCCCAGAAGATTCGCGCGCGCGCGCGCCGCGCGCCGCGCGAGGCGGTTTTCCGGAAGGCGGGGGACCTGCGGCGGAAGGAGCCCTTTTGGCTGCTGCCCTCCACCCAGGCGACGAGTGGAGTTCGAGTGCTTCGAGTCCTTTGGGTGGGTCCATGTCACGACGCGTCCACGTGTTTTTTTTTTGTCCCCGTTGTGTTCCTCTTTTTTTTTTGGGGGGGGGGGGAGTGGTTCCCAGCGAATCGTCTGGTTTGTTAGGGCGTTTTAAGTTGGTTTTGGTGGGGAGTTAACTTTTGAGCCCACTAGAAGTTGCACTTTTAGCAGGAGAGCTGAGGAAAGCCCGGGTTTTTAATGGCTTTTGCGAAGGCTTCCAGGAAGCTTCCATGAGTTTTGTCAGGGATAAGTGTCCATGGAAAATAAAAAGCAACACCTGCAGAGCCTTCTCGATTTGGTTCCAGGTCCTGCATCCCATCAAAGCAAGTAACCCCATCGGTGCGATTTAGCGATGGAAAGGGGGTGTTTGAAAAGGGCTCGCCCAAAAAGAAGAGGTGGGTGGGAGTAGTGAGTAACGAGCAAACAACATGGTAAAGCTTACAGGTAACAAAACCCTGGAAACTGGATTTACAAGGCTTCTTTAAACGCGTGAGAAAACCGCTACTGTCTAGACAAGTGTCCTTTTTGTTTTCCTTCAAGGGCCAGGGTCTGAAGTTTGTCCAGCAATGTTTGGTCAACTCTTTTGGGTTGCCTCGACATGAGCAGCACCCATGACCCATTTTAGGTCTCACTCCCTAAGTTCCTGGACTTGAGCTACTTTTTTGAAAAGACCATTGCATGTAGCCAGGAAGTTCCATGTTGTGTGGTTTTCCAAGGACTACAGGTACAGCCACCTCACAACCATTGCTAGTCATTACATGAGGTGGTTGTACCTAGTTTCATGCTGTGTTGGTTTCCTTTTTTGCGACTTGGATTCGGTTGCCGGGCAGAAATCGGGCCCCGAAGATTCACTGCACGCTCCAAAACATGAAGGTTGCTGCATTCCCGCCCGATGGGACTCCTCATGCCCTGTCCTTGTTGAGTGTGGATACAAAAGAGAACACGTTGCCTGTGCGGATTTTTGGCACAGGATTTGTTTTCATTGACAATAAGTGCCGTGGGTTTCCATCGAAGGTGGGTGCAGGGGGCCTGCTTTGTTTGGTATCCGCTGGTATCAGTCTTTCCTTCTTTGCATGACTGCACCGTGTTTAGCTCAGGTCGCGAAAGTTGGGACAATTCCTAAGCTATAATTAGCAATCCTGGGGTGTGGAAATGGGCCGAACCGCTCGGGGGCTCCCGTATTCCAGCGATTGCAGGGTCTATGGGAGTGGTTTGTAGGTGCCAGTGGACATTCTGTGTCTTTTGTTTGTATTCCATTTGGCCAGCAGTCTAATTTGATTTCCTTTCAGATTGTTCAATCGATTCAATCGTTATCATGCAGATATGTTTGACGATGCTGCGGGATAGCCACTTTCTATCCTTCTTCCAGGGTCGTCTGACCAACGCTGCATGCCATGGTTGGGAAATTGCGTTTGGGGGGTTTAGGGCCATGCGAGTGGCCAAGGGATTAGTTATCGGAATGGCCCATTAGCACAGAAAGGGGTATCATCAGATCTGGTATGCGACCTCACCTGTGAGGGTTTCTTTGATACGTTGGATACCGCTGGATACTCTGAGTATTGCAAGTAGACTAACCATACTCACATCACCACGGTAAAATACAGAAGTAGTACAGGGTTTCCCTTGTGTTTTCCCTTGTGCTCCACTTGCAACTGTATCGGGCATCCGCCGAAATCCCCCAAGTTTCGACCACCGCATGCCGATTTTCCGCAGGCGAACTACGTGCAGCTGCAGCGAGGTGAGTCCAAGGCCGAAAAAGTGCGCTCCCTCGGGGGCAAGCTGACTCTCGGCAAAGCCAAGAACCCGGCCGAGTCAAACGAAGAAATCCGGAGGTCGGAAAGTTGTGATATACCGAATATACCCCTTTGCCCTCACATGCACCTATGAAATACCTTCAAAACCCGGTACTAGTTCTCCTCTAACCCCACAAACCCCACTTTGGGCTTGCTTGGGGGAAGCTGGATTGCTCGACTCTACTGTTGGACTCTTTGTTTTTGTTGGTTGACATATGGTTGGAACCCAGTTGCAACTATAGCAGATTACACCCCCAACCAAAATAGATGCCAGCTTGTGTTCTTGCGAATCGGTGTTTTCAGGGCAACCCTGGGGCCTTAAATCGATTCTTTTTTGATCTGGGGGATTGTGAGAATTAGGGATCCTTCTCCGTATCCCAATTCAAGGCGGCAGGTCCGAAAAGGGGCCATCTGTGTGACAGCCGCCCATTGGTTTTGCCTTTTGAGGTTCCACCAACCCCAAAAGATGGCCAAGACAGGCCCTCCAAACAGCCAGGTTTTCAGACGGGGGTCGGGTCTTCCATGGAAAAAGCCCAGGAGCTTCTGGGAAACCAAAACCGGATTCAATCCACCATGAAAACAATGAAACCTCATAACCACCATTGTTTACCTAAGGATTGTCATGCAAGTTGGGTCAACCTTTCTTTTAGGGGTTGAACCCTAGGGATTATGCTTATGTTGGGCCATGCTGGGAACAAGAGTCAAAGAAACAACACAAGCACGTAAACTAGCTTGCTACACCACTTCACTTCCCGCTTTCGCGATTTTCCGACCCCCTAGGAAGGGCAGCCTCGCCAAGAAGAGCCGCGAGGTGAGCAGCAACGTGGCCAGCTTTGCCCAGGACCGCTTTTCCCGGATGCGTCGCCTTTTTTTTTGTTTGGGGGGTGGGGGTGGTGAGGTGAGGGTTCTGCCGTTCCCTGGGAACCCTTCGCCAGATTCCATCTTAGAGGATCACAGGTAAATGTTAGTTCTATCTTGCCATATTTAGGTTCTTTTGGTCCCTACCTTGCAGGTAAATGGGATCACAGTGAACATACCAATCATCTACCCTTTGTGGCAGCGCATATCCAGGACTCTACGCTTCTTCCGGTGGGGCTCCGCCCCCTTTTCAACTTTTGTTTGTGATGGGCCCTATGAAACTCATCCAGTCCATGGGCAGAAATGTAGGGAGGGACGGAGGTTATGCACCACTCATACAAGGGGTATATGCCTTAAAGGCCCATACTGCTGGCTTAAATCGCTCTCTTGGATGGTAGGGTAATCGCTAAACGGTTAGAATCCCTCCTGGGTTTACACGAAGGTTAGGGCTAAGCACCGGCCAAGTCCAGAAATGTCTCACTATGTGGAGGCATGGGTTCTGGCGCAGATTGGAGCTCGCCTGATGAAGGCCTCTTTTTGCAGGTTCTAAAAAGAAATCCAGCTTGCGGAATGGTCAATTGCCACCAACAAACATCATAAAGCCGTCCACCTAATTTGACAGCTTGAGATGGCTTATCTACCACCAATGAAAAGCCTTTAAGATAGCTTTCGTTTGGGCACCAGGTGCAGGACGCCAGTTCAGCGCCCAGAGCCATTTTAGTATGGTGCTACAAAGGGTTGGTTCCCTTGAGTGTCCTTCCCCTTTTGAACCAACCCAAAAGAACGTACCCTCACAAGTGTCATGCCCATCTTGCTGGTGTGCAATGAAACGGGAGCGTTTGGAGTTCCAACAGAGGGCGAGTTGCTTCGAGCCGTGCATAAAAGATGCCCAAAACACAAGCAGAAAGGCCTAGTTAATTGAAATTGGTGTTATGTAAGCTTCATTCAGATGGGTTGTGGAGTCTGGACATATCTGAACATGAAATGTTCAGTTCAAGGGCCTGAAGCTGAGGCTGGGATGTAGGGAACCCTGCAAGACTGAGAAGGCGAATGCATTGCTTTCAGGCGCTCGGTTTCACTCTGTAAGGACATCCGGCAGAAGCGGGAGGCCTGGAAGGAGAAGGGTGACCAGCACGAGGAGGACCGAGTTGAGGGGAGATTCGGTGAACATGTCACCCTCTGTCTGATATGCAACCCACACCAGAGGAGCCCTTTTAAAGGAAAATCCTCTTGCCGGAGCCCTAGTGAGGTTTTATTTGAGTGGACAGTCATTTCTTCGTTTCCCGTGGGAGGGTGAACCAAGCTGGAGCCTCGCTTTTTGGGGGGTTACATCAGGCGCAGAGTTGGCCAAAGAGCTCACAGCTGCCAGGTTTCCTGTGGGCCCAAGGGCCAACTTGGCAGCGAATCCTTTTGGACCTTTCTTCTTTTGGATCACGAAACAATATGTCCAAGTTTCTGGACTGGAGCCACATTGGCGGACCGTTTTGTTTTTTTTCCAATCCCACCGGGAAGCACTTGTTTTGGCCAACCCACTCGTTCGGGAGTGAGCCACAAGCCTTTGAACCGCACCCTTCCCCAGCCTCCAGCCCCCACCCCCCACCCCCCATCCCCCAGCCATTGACGCAGGAGCCGAGCGACCTGGGGGACTCCATCTTCGCCATCGGCTCCGATGAGGACCATCGACTCGCGCTCGCGTACCAGTTGGGTTCGGCCATCGACTCTCTCTGTTTTGGTGGGGGCAGAAAGGTGAGTCAACATTGTCAGGTCAGGTATTGCTATGAGGTCTGGTCATGTCTGGTCAACATATCCAGTACTCAAAGGCATGTTTTGACCGTGAGGAGTGGGACTCCGAGACCGAGGGCTCCACAGATGCGAACACGGCCCCGAGCAAGGGCGGCCGCGTGCAGTCGGAGGAGGAGGCGACAGAGCTGTCATAGCTGGACAGGCTTTGAAGTAGCCCTATGGGTTGCTAGGTCCCCCAGTAGCGCCCTTTGACCAACTTTTTTGGTTGGGAGGGTTCCCCTACTAAAATGGACTACAGAAAAAAGTTGGTGCCCTTATTCTAACCTCTCTACTGGGGGACGGTGATCCACTCTGACAAGCTCCGTCAGTCGGGGATGGATCCAAGTGGCTCCTGTTTCACCTGGCTTGCAAATCGCTGGCGCTTGCGCGCCGCGATGATGCCGGATGCCAGCCGTGCAGCGACCCGGGTGGGCATTGGAAGCATGGACTGTCATGGCAAAACGTGCATTTGGATATGGAATACTGGTTTGTGGGCTTGCGGCTCTTGGTTGTAGCAGTAGAACAAGAATAATTCAGTCAAATGCATAATGTACATGTGTGCCTTTATTTTGTTTCCTGGGGGTTGGTAGAGATGGTCATTGGCCGCATGAGGAAACATTTGGAGAACCGTTCGTAACAGTTCCTTGCTGGGCCGTGGCCCGTATTGGGAATTCGGACTATGCAGTGTAGTTTTGTCCTCATAATTTATGGCGAGCTCACCGATTCGGGGATAAAACGATCTCACCATGGTAAAGATCCTTTACTTGGGGGTCCCTTAGTTCAGATTTTGGAAGCATGGTAATCTTTGGAGATACGTTCTGTTCTCCTCACGCGCGTTGCTTTGTGGTGCTTCTATTGAACTTGTGATCCCCACCCTGTGAAACGGCCGCCTTGGGCCGCGCATTCCGCGGCTCAGGAAAATGAGAGAGGCAGACTGAGCATCTGCTTTCAGAATTTCACTTTGCCCCTCTGCATTCTAGGATGCTCAACTTCTACATTATTGAATCTGACGCATTATTTGGGGGAGTTCCCTCGAAAAGCGAAACGGATCTACTCTCAAGGACACCCCCATTCATCACACAGTGAACTCAAGCATCAAATTGTGTTCCAGCCGGGAAGTAAGATTTATCCATTGTGAAACACCCTAACACACGCTCGGTATCCCATTGATTACCATGGTTACAACCTGCTTCGCGAAGTTGCAGCAGTCGGGTTGGATTCGGATCTCGATAGCTTTGACGCAGATATGCCGCTTTTTGACTGAATGTGGCACCGTCTTTTTTGCGGATCCACAAGTGGGGTATCTAACAGAACCATCGGAGATGTTTCGAAACGGGTGCGCATGGAAACCTCTGTGCGGTTGCATTTATGCCCCATGGCGCCTATAATCAAAGGTGGGGGCACAGAGGCGGCGCTTTAGTGATATGTGAGTTGGAGCCCCTGAAAATGTGTGGCTTCCCTTGCTCCTTCGAAAACTCGATGTGTTGTTTTAGTTCTTGGGGTTCTTTGGCTCCGTTTGGGTCGCAAAGAACAGTTGCCAAAAGCTCCGTGTTGCGCGCTCCCGCGTACAGTGGAAACAGCACGTACTGGCATTTGGGCTTGCTTCTTAGCATGCGGGGGAGATGTTTTGGGCTGAAAGTATAGGCAAACCTTGCCGCCGAAGCTCTTAGCAGAGCACCATTCTTGACGAATGAGGATCGACCAAGTTCGACCCTTTGGTTGGTCCTTCTTTGAAAGAACTGCTATTGGTTTGGGATACTTGGTGCCCTGGTCTAGGGTGCCGAACTGTGGATTCTCTCACGTTTTTTGGGGGGGAATCTAACATTTTACTCATGGGCTCATGGGTCCAAAGGTCAATCGGTTATTTCCAGGAGCCTAGGATTCAGACTACCCTGAACTGGCGGTTTGAGGACTTGCCTTGCTGGCTGAGAGTGAAGGGGAAACCCCCCTTTCCTCCAAGCCACCAACTGAAACCACCAATTGGAGCGCTCTTTCTGGGCGACTCCCTTCAGGCTCAAACTCGGCAAGGCGCAGCATGGAACCAGATGGGACGACCGCAGACTTGGGGTTGAGTGAAGATCGACTTGAAACATGTGTGGACAGCATTATATCATTATATCTACTAAATTGCAAGCCCTTGATATCTTTGGGAGCTGCCTTTTTATTTGGGATTAAACTTGCGACTTTGCGTTCGGCGAAGTATCTTCATCCATTTCGTCTGGGGAAAGAAGAGCGAACCTTTTCTGGCAAGGCAATGCCCAGCGATGTGCAACTGCAAAGGGATGCTTGAAACGCAAACCAACATGAGACAGCCACACCTCCCCGTGCTGGAGTGTCCAAACTTGCTGGCCAGAATCATGTTCGGCAGACCCAGGTAAGCTTTCCAAAGTTCCTTTCTGTAAGAATTGCAGTTTGAGATACAGCGCGCAACGACCGCGCCACGCAAATTGCAATAGCAAGCTAGTACATCTTAGTGACTACTTAGATGTTGAGAGGGGCAGCCTAATGAGGTAACCCTAGTAAGGGTTTTGCAGGGGGGCTACCCATTCTTGCGGTTCCCTATTGAGACGCACACACACACACACAGCCACACACACACACACGTAAGTGTTGGGCTTTGCCCTCAATGAACCAGACTATTGAAACCGCTTTCAATCCACCCCAAAGGGGTTGCAACTCGAAAACATAGACCCACTTTGCGATTGTAGCAGACCAGGTCCAACACACCCCCACTTAGCTCGAACACCTTGTCCATCGTAGTCGCGCCGCGAAGACCGGCCTATGGCCCATGCAGTGCGTCTTCCATCCAGCCACGTGGCCGTTGGTGGAGTCCTTTTTGATCCTTTTTTGCCATGCCAGGTCCCCCAGTAGTGCCCTTTTACTCTTTTTTGGTTGGGAGGGTTCCCCTATTGAAATGAACCACCAAGAAAGATTTGCACTTTTGGCCACTGAGGGTCTGGGTTGGTTTGGGCAATTCTAAAATAGATTGGTTCCCTTGTGGTAGGCACCTGTTTTTGATGGCAAAAACACCACCCAAAGAAAGCCATTTGCAGAGCTCCGGAGCGGATTTTCAAGATCACCCTCACGAGGCGATTGCTTTTGGAGCGAGAAAATAGGAGAACCCAATCGCCCCGGGAGAAGCAGTGGACCTCTACCCTGCCCTCTGCGCTCTGCACCCTGCCCTCCCAAAATGCTGGCCCTGAATTGCAGGTGAGATAAGGATTCGAGGCCACAGCTTTCCTGATTCTCTCCTGGAGCGGAGACCCCCATTTTTTGCGGAGGATGGCTAGTCACAGGTGGCATAGGGCCAGAAGCACTTGAACCTACAACCTCCCCGATTACCATAGCTAGGTCCCCCAGTAGTGCCCTTTTACTCTTTCTTGGTTGGGAGGGTTCCCCTACTAAAATAGACTACACCGAGGCCGCGGCAGCCATTCGCAGCCCCTGCTGCGGAGCCGCTCGGCGCCTGCTGCGCTGGCGCGGGAGGTGGCGTTCGCAGTGCTGGGCTTTCCGAGGGAATGAAGGGAGAAAGGGCTGGGTATTTTGGTATTTTTTTGACCTGGATAAGGGTCTGCAGGGGGGCGGTCTGTGAACAGGTCAGAAAAAGACCCTCTTCGAGTTGCACCGGGAGGGGTCTGAAAGGGAACACCCGTGGCGATGCCTTACAACCTGGATTCGCTAGCTTGGAGGTTGTGTGAACGGAGTTTAGGGCGCGTGGAGGGATTTGGATGGGAACAGAATCCCCGACCCTCATGGTGGTTTAAAGGTTGGAGGGAGCGAGCGTGTTTTTGTCAGGTGATTTACTCCAAAATGACCTAAATGATTTCCTTAAAAGGGAAACAACCCCACATTGTGATTTGGAGAAGCCCGAGGTACCACTTGCAGTTGATTCCTCATGCAACGCCTGTCAAAACTATAGCGCAAGATGGATTCTCCCAATTAGTGGCATTGGACTCCTCTACTCGTGGTCAACTACAGAAGGCAAGGCCAGATTGACAACCCAACGGTGGACTCACAACCTGAGTTGCAATGCCTTAGTCAGGGGTTGTTCTCAGCACAATTGTCTGCCGCCTTACTTGGGTTTCTATGACTTGGAATACCAAAAACAATAAGAGTGGGTTTTTTTTTGGGATGGAGTCTTCTTTTAAGAGTTTTTTTTCACGGGGGGAATCAAAAGGAGCACCGCCATTTTTAGGGTTGGTTTTGTTCAATGCCAAACCCATTTGTTCCCAAATGATAAGTTCAAGGAAGCAGGGGCTAGGGGCGGGCAGGGGGAAGTGCATCTGGAATCTAAACCGTGGGTGCCTTATCACTTGGCATGGAGTTCACTCGGTACGGAACCGATCCCAGCACAAAAGGGTGCTCTCCAATCTTACATGCCCTTTGGGCCAACAGCAAATGGAGAGCAAAATCCAAACGCAAAGAGCAGAAGAGCGGCACGGCCTGAAAACCGGGA